AGCATGACAAGCTGACTTTGTTAACACTCAGTAAAATAGTTCTGCATTGCATGTACACTAGAAACCACAGAATCTTTGATCTGGGGAATGTGGTATAATCAGTGCTATTTTTCCAGAAAAAGCGTTGCTGGAACTCACTATGAGCGCCTCCCTTGTTCTCTTATAATGGCAGTGAAGCCCAGAACTAAGTTCTGGCAAGTTCTGGCTTTTAAAAAACAACAACCCTGGGTTTAATTAGTATTATTTTGCTACATTTGCTTTCTTCAATGAAGTTTTTTTGTGTGTGTGTGAAATTGGTAGTGATAAATATTGATTACTCAGGGTATAACACATTAATTTGCAGCTGTGAGGTAGTTGATGTTCAAGTCCACAGGGAGGCATGTAAAAATAGGGACTGGCAATGAAAATCATAACCTGAATCATAAGTACAGTCTTCAAAGCGGACACATGAAAGCAAATTTTCCCCACAGTACATTTGCAGCCAGTAATTAGACTGTGACTTCGGCAGGACTGTAGTGATAGACTTCCTAATCGCTGGGGATGCACTCTTTTTGAACAGCCACTTCCTCATTCTTCTGTTTTGGCAATTTAAGGCTTGCCTTGGAGTTTAGGGTTAAAATAGATCAGCTAAATCCTGGCTTTCCCTGAAGCAGATGTACCAAGACAGGAAGCATAGGAACGTGTCATGGTACCATAAATATGCTCAGTTATAAGGAGCATACAAAGGGCTGGGCAGGATCCAAATCACAGTAGGTCTCATGGGTGGGAGCTTTAAGCTCTTCCCTACACTGTCAGTCGGGACGCGGGTGGCGCTGTGGGTTAAACCACAGAGCCTAGGGCTTGCCGATCAGAAGGTCGGCGGTTCGAATCCGTGCAAAACGGGGTGAGCTTCTGTTGCTCGGTCCCTGCTCCTGCCAACCTACCAGTTTGAAAGCACGTCAAAGTGCAAGTAGATAAATAGGTACTGCTCTGGCAGGAAGGTAAATGGTGTTTCCGTGCGCTGCTCTGGTTCGCCAGAAGTGGCTTAGTTATGCTGGCCACATGACCCGAAAGCTGTACGCTGGCTCCCTCGGCCAATAAAGCGAGATGAGCACCGCAACCCCAGAGTCGGTCACACTGGACCTAATGGTCAGGGGTCCCTTTACCGTTTACCTTTACACTGTCAGTCAGCCCCACCAAACGTCAGGGAAGCCATGAGGTGCCATCATGGGGAAATCCCCTCCCCCCCTCCCCACCATGGCTGTGTGTCGAAGCACTGCCCTTTTGCATGTGGGGGCAAAGATGAGATACCAACCATGACACAGTTCCATAAAGTAAGACTTGTTTATACGGGTTAGTGAACGCAGACATGTGGATCCAGAATTGGCCTCCACAGTCACTTACGAACTCATTGTTAAAACCGTGTTTGTGGAAGACAATCTTACTCGGCTACGAGTGATCGCCAAAGATTGTGCATTTTCTCCTAACCTGAGCAACGAGAAGTTTCTTTTGGAGGAGAGAGCCCTGGAGAGTTGTGTCTTTTTTATAGTACTTGATTTATTTAAATCGTAAATGAAGATTGTAAGTGACGGCAAGCGACTTGCACTCTTACTAGGCAGCAAACCCACAGATCTGCACGCACAAGTTGCCTTCAGATCTCTGGTTCTGTCTCGCTCTGTGGAACTTGGTACTACACCCCCCCCAACACACACTGCCCATTAAAGCTTAGCTGGTAGGAGGGAATTTTATTTCTCTGGATATCTTCACCTATTTGCTAAGCATTCATTCTCATCGAGGACACCTCAGCCAACCCCACTGGGCCATTAACAGCAACCTGCCTGACAAAGGAGTATCTCGCTCTCAGCCAGATATTATCAGGCCATGAGGCACTGACATTTTCCTAAATATAGATGGGACTTCTTTGAGGAGCCAATGCTGTAAGGAGCCTTTCTCATGATGCACCTGTAGACTTTGAGATGTTTGCTTGCAGTTTTGATAAGTGAGAAATTTTTTGAAGTCCCTCTTCCCTCGCTATACAGGTTCTGTGTCATAGATGGGGAACCTTTGGTCTGCCAGATGTTGCTGAACTGCAACTCTAATCAGCCTTAGCCAGCATGACCAATGGCAAGGAGTGATGGGAGCTGTAGTTCAGTAACATCTGGAGGTCCAAATGTTCTCTACCCTTGTCCCATGTGTTTGCATAGCAATCTGAAAATTGTGCTTGCTCTTTTGCAAATGGACTTGAAAAACATAAATATTTATATGAATCATGATCACAATCTCTCTCTCTCTTTCCCATTTCAAATCTCTTGAACCTTTTGTATTGCTTATGTAAACACTCAACACGTATAAAGTAATTGAAGAGAATTTTGTGAAGGTCAACCTATAGCATTTCTGTTACTACCAGTGTTCATTTGCCTTGAAATATGAGTAACGTTGACAATCATTTTCAGTCAGGGTTTTCCATAGTATGTCAGCCCTCTAAAATATTTATTTTAGCATTTGTTTTATTATTGTTTTAATATTTTTTATTATTTTAAACAAAGTAATAATAATAAATAGAAATAAACATTTGCACCCCACTCTGAGACCATTCCATTATAATTATCCAACCTCCCAAAGTTTCAACACGTCTTGCAGTGGTTTGATCCCATTCTGTTTTAACAGTGCAAATTCTACAAATACCTTCCACATCTCCTCAAAATCATTTCTCCTGTATATTCCCCATCTTACCTTAATAGCACATGTTAATTTATCATTAATAGCTATATCCCACACCTCTTTACAGCATTCTTCTATTTTATATTTACCTTGCCCCTTCCACTTCCTAGCTATAATAACTCATGCAGCTATCAATAAATTTGTGAGCAAGTTCTTCATAGCCTGCGAACCTTCCACTCCATCGTAAATTGATAACAATGCTACCTCTGGACTTTCGATCAACTTTAACCCCAAGACTTCTGTTATCTCCTTAAACACCCTTTGCCAAAAAGTTTGTAAGTATTTACACCCCCACACATGTGAACAAAAGTCCTGGTTTCCTGGCATCTCCTCCAACATAACACCGAATATTCTTGTTTATTTGATTTAATCTTACAGGTGTTAAATAACCTTTCCTCCTTAAGAGGACAATTAGGACAATGGGAGAGGTGAAATACCTCAGAAAAAAATAAGGGGGGCGGGGAATAAATTGGAATTAAATGGGATGGGTAATGGGTTAGATAAGTATCATAAGACACAAGACCAGAAATTAAGAACTACATTCAACCAAGGATAATGAAATAAGGATTTCAACCTTAAACGTTAAAGGCCTGGGGTCGATTATGAAAAGGAGGAGGATATAAACATTACTGAATAAAGATAAAGCAGATATATTATAATATTTCTACAGGAAACACATCAGATGAAAGAGGGGGTTAATGAACTCAAACTGAGAGGTATAAATAATTATGAGAAAGCATACGGTACTTCAAAATCAAGAGGGGTAGCAACTATAATTTCAAAGAGATGCGGGTTTAGTATATTAAAGATGAAGAAAGACCCTGAGGGAAGATGCTTTAACGTTTTTACCCTGCATGCTTAGGCTTAAGGTTTTCTCAGTGGCTTGCAAGATAAACAACAACAACGAACACTGAAGCAAAATGTAGAACTACCAAAGAAACAATGATGATGATGATGATGATGATGATCATTTATTATTTATACCCCGCCCATCTGGCTGGGTTTCCCCAGCCACTCTGGGCGGCTTCTAACAAAACACTAAAATACAATAACCTATTAAACATTAAAAGCTTCCCTAAACAGGACTGCCTTCAGATGTGTTCTAAATGTTTGGTAGTTATTTTTCTCTTTGACATCTGGGTGGGAGGGCATTCCATAGGGCAGGTGCCACTACCGAAAAGGCCCTCTGCCTGGTTCCCTGTAACTTGGCCTCTCGCAGTGAGGGAACCACCAGAAGGCCCTCGGAGCTGGACCTCAGTGTCCAGGCAGAACGATGGAGGTGGAGATGCTCCTTCAGGTATACTGGACCGAGGCAGTTTAAGAGCATAAGTGCAGGGATTGTAGCCAATGCTGCCATTCTGCTCACACAACAGATTTCTGCCCATCTCACCCTTTTCCCAGCAACTTCCCTTTCATCTTCAAAACCTGTTCCAGAGGGTTGGGGGACACCCCAGAGTAGTTATCAGTGGGGAAGGCAAGGAGAGGAAGAGATGGTCTCATTGCATAAGTTGAACTGCGCTCATAGAGTGCTGGATACAAACCAATGTTTTAATCAGCCTTGTAAGTTGCTGGATGCTTCTTTCTGGAACGTTAAGGAAGGACCTTAACACACGAGGAAGGACTAAATTGACTGAATTTGCCCACCTGACTTTTGATGAAAACAAGTAAGAATTCATTAAACATGGCAGCCAACTAGATCCTATAAAAATATTTTCTTTTCCTGTTGTTATTGGGAGCCTGTATGTGGCCTTATAATAACTAAGCTTGAAAAAAAGAAAATCCAAAATATATAATAAGTTATTTCTTTTTTGAATTGAATAATTAATTATAACTAGCATTCAAACTTTAATTATAGATATAATGTTGATAAGGCCTGTGGGATTCCAGTTGGAAATGAATTCTATCGTTTACAGTATGCAAATATACCCACTTAGTTTAATTGGAGTTCCAAACTAAAGCAATTATCAGCAACTGCTTTAATATTAATAGGCTTGACAGAATTGTCCCTTATAATAGTTTAAGTGAATGAGAATTATTGTGCTAAGCCCCAGTTGGTGAACTGAAAATATTTCTTATGCAACCTTAACATTGTGTTTTTTATTGCTTTGACTTGAGGCAATTAATTATAAATTAAATGAAACTTGCTTCCATCAAGTGAGTTTAGGAAACATATTTACAGGAGCAGTTTAAAATGTATGATTTTAGTGAAAAGAATATGATTGAAGGCTAAATTAATAATTTGGGACAATGTGAAGAGGAAATAGTGTCCTATTTCTTCTCATATGCAGCGTCTCCTAGGATCTCTAGGCATTCCTGTTTCTATGTGGTCATCACAAGCTCCCACCAATTTGTCACAGTGGAGATTTGGGTTTTTCAGGATAAGGCTTCCTTGTGTAATCCTAGAGCGAGCAAGCAAGCAGTGTTTTCAGCACCCACTTGCCACACCGGATACTGTCTCTGGGCATACCAGGTTAGATGCCCAGGGATGTTCTATTAATTAATAATAATAATAATAATAATTCATTTATACCCCGCCCTCCCTGGTCAGGACCAGGCTCAGGGCGGGTAACACCAAATATGAATTACAATAAAATGTAATAGAAAACAGCAAACAAACAAACAGTTAATTAAAATACAACTTAAAATACAGCTTAAAATGCAGCCTCATTTTAGTAGTAGCCCTTAAATCAAGCCCATAAAGGGAGGAAACATCAGATATTCACCCGAGCCAGCTATCCATGCTGGTCCTACATGGGCGAGCAAAAACAAACAAACAACAACAACAAAAGCAAGGGAAAATTTATATACTAAATCCCATATAAGGGGTCAGAGTGAATCTAAGCCAAAGGCCAGGCGGAACAGCTCTGTCTTGCAGGCCTTGCGGAAAGATGTCAAATCCCGCAGGGCCCTAGTCTCTTGTGACAGAGCATTCCACCAGGCCAGGGCCAGAGTTCTGGCCCTAGTTGAGACCAATCTAACCACCTTGCGACCTGGGATCTCCAAAGTGTTGTTATTTATGGACCTTAAGGTCCTCTGCGGGGCATATCAGGAGAGGCAGTCCCGTAGGTACAAGGGTCCTAGGCTTTTGCATAGTCTTGTGATTCAGCATCGCCCATCATCTCACTGGAGTCTTTGGATGTGCAGCATTAGGCTGTCTCACATGCTCTAAGCCTCGGACACAGGGGAAGTGCCCCCCACTTTGCGGTTTGAGCGAAAAAGGGAACATGTCCCCCTGCTGCCACTGAAGCCTGCCTTACCCATGTTGCCTGTCAGCACCCACAAAGCCCTGGCAGCAGTTCTGGCTTCTGTCGAAACCTCATGAGATCTCATGTGTTTGGCGAGACCTCATGAGATTTTGCTTCTCTGGATGCAGCTGCGGGGGCAGCACCTGGTGGGCTTCTGCTGCGCAAAGTGGTCTTTTCCCAGCTGGCAGGGAAGATAACATTCTTTGGGGAAGGGTTATAGCTCAGTGGCAGAGAACCAGGTTTCATGTTCATTCCCTGCCCTGTTCAGTTAGGGCTGGAAGCGACCCCTTTCTGAAACTATGGGGAGATGCTACCAGTAAGGGTGTAGACACTGCTGAGCTAGGTGGACCAGTGGTGTGATTCAGTATAAGACGTGCAGGAGACAAAACCAAACCCAGCCTGGGATAGGTAGTGGGAAATGGCTGAAGGGAAAAGCAGCTCAAACTGATAGCATCCTGTACCCACTTTACTTTTGTTTTTTTACATTGAGCAATGGTTGCACATGTCTGCCATGGAATATTTAGTTTGGCGCACACAGCTTACCTGATAGGCTGGTTGATTTGGCCTAAAGTATGTTTTTAATCATAACTGTATCTGGTATATTATTTGTAGAGTGGCCACCGACACATCATAGAAATAGATGACAAAAGAGGGCACATGTTTGCATATAATTTGCACATGCTAATTCATGTGTGTAAATGCAATTTTAGAAATAATATGATAATTTAAATAGAAATAGCATACATCTCACCGTGGAGGGGAAGACTGTGAGGAAGTGACCCGTGTGCTTGGTCAGCCTATTGTTGGCATGCTGATTGTTGATGGGCAACTTAAAGGCCTTTCTACTGGTGGTTCTTTATCTTCAAACCAGACTTGGACACTCCTGAAATAGAGAATTATTTCGAACAGCTGACTCCTCTGACAGACCTCCAAACTGTCCTGTCTCTCCTGACACGTTTTGGCAGAGTGAAAAATGAATCCTTAGGCATTCTTCTCCATCACTGTTTCCACTATCTAATCCAGGCATGTACCGAGAGGCCTTTGTGTGGCTAGATATCTCAGCGCACGTGCTGTGTAGTGGCAGTTTTGCTGTTGTCTTTGGGCTCTGAAGCCTCATGGCGGATGAGAGCCTATAGTTCAGCCTGAGACAAACATTAGGGTTCCATGTGTTTTCTGGACATCCAAAGCACCTGTGTGCTGCATAGGGCAGCTGCCTCAGGCTTTCTTCTGTGCTGTGAAGCTATTGGTGTGTAGTCTACATTGCTGCCCCTTTGGCAAGTTGGAGGCTTAAAGACAGAACAGGTCTAGTGAAGTCTGGGGAAGGTTTCTCAAGCTGCACTCATCCTCCTGTGAGATGTCTGGTGGAGAGGGTGGTGATATTGCTGCACCCTCAATACACCAAAGGAATGCCTTGGGACTTGATCTACCCGCCTTATATATTTCCAAAATAGTCCTGGAAAATGCTAGCACGCAGATGAGCCTCAGTCTACCCAGGAAATGATTCCTTTACCAGACGTTGTAGTTCTTACCTCAATTCAGAAAGGGCTGGGGGACGTGGGTGGTGCTGTGGTCTAAACTACCTAGCCTCTCGGGCTTGCTGATCAGAAGGTTGGCACTTCAAATCTGTTCAATGAGGTGAGCTCCCATTGCCGTCCCAGCTTCTGCCAACCTAGCAGTTCAAAAGCACGCCAGTGCAAGTAGATAAATAGGTACCACTGTGGTGGGAAGGGAAACAGTGTTTCCAGGAGCTCTGGTTTCCGTCACGGTGTTCTGTTGCACCAGAATCGGTTTAGTCATGCTGGCCACATGACCCGGAAAGCTGTCTGTGGACAAACACCGGCTCCCTTGGCCTGAAGCGAGATGAAAGCCACACCCCATAGTCACCTTTGACTGGACTTAACTGTCCAGGGGTCCTTTACCATTACCTTTCAGGAGAGGCAGAACTCTGCCTGTTCCTTCCTTGAGACACACAGTGGAATCTTCAGTTAGAACCTAATAAAATGCATGTTGCTTCCCTTGAAAAACGTTGCCAAGTATTTTGGAAATGATTTTAGCTTGTAGTACATCTGCCATTTATTTATGTATTAATTTTTTATGCCATGGATATTTTAGCATTGTATATTTAACATTTATTATTCTCATTCATATCCCTGATTCGTCAGATGTTACTATAATATATATATGCACACCAAATCTGAACATGAATCAGGGAAGTGTTTACAATATCTTCATTTATGCAGCCAAATGATATTTTAGCCTGTATTACATCTTCTCTATGTGCTGATACTCTTTTATATCTGTAACCATTCATCAGTAGCAACTTTGTGAAAATTTCACAAGCATATGGCAGATGTTAAATTTTTTAAAGCTTTCTTGCATTTTGAAGTGGGTATAGTGTCTAAAGCAATGGATAAGGGTGCCTTTGTGCCTTGAGTAACGGAAAGAAAGCCAAATGCACAGGACAGAAAAGTAGTATTATATTTGCTTTTCTTTAACCTTGCTTATAGCCCATCCTATCACTGAATTTCAAACTGAACAGGCTGAGCTCACATGCAGGTATTGTGCGAATAATTGTCTCCATTTGGCAGCTTACATGCAGCCACCAAGTCCCAACAACACAAGGATTTACGCTTGGTGTTTTGTTTTTGTAAAAAGTTGAGACTGTGTGGCAGCTTCCTAATTCTGCTCATTTCCTTTTGTTTCCAACAACGCGAAAGGGTTGCTATTAACCATTTTGTTGTTTTTGAATAGCGTCATCCACTGTTAATGCGTCCTGACCTGAAGAAGTGTGAAGGAACAACTAATATTCTAGCACAATTTGCCTTTGTATATAAGATGAGCTTTTGGAGTGGAAACATAAATATATATCACATGTATGGGGTAATTAATAAAAGCATTGGCTGGATTCCCAGACCTAAAGTGTGGGGCTAAATGCATTCTCCAGTGAGAGAGCCCAGCATAGTTTAAAAGTCACAAAATGTGCAGTGTCAGTGAAGCATGGGAATAATAGATGGTTAGACCTTTTAAATACCCTGTTTAGTCTGCTTACAATGGTTTCCCTCTCTACACCTCTCAAAATGAACAGACCACGTTGTTAGTAAGTTTAAATGCTTTACTTACAAACCCCAAAGGTCAGATGCAGGTGTTATTCCATGCAGCAGCAAGAATAACACAGGTAGAAAATTATTGGGTTACAACATTCAGAAACATATTTCTGAGCATGCAGTCTGTGCTTGAAGCAGTCAGGCCAAGACGTGTTGCCTGGTCAGCTTCACATGGTGGAAGCTTCACTTCCTTCTTCACTGGAGGTGAGAGGGTGTGACATGACTGAGTCTAGGGATACAGTTCTGTGGTCTTAACCCCTTCATGCATTAACTAGCATTAAGCTTGCTGGCTATATCTGACTTCAATTTCCCACATTATCTGCTACTGAACAGAATTTGTTGCTCCTGCTCTACCTGTGGTGCCAGCTGCCCCTTCCCAAAGTGTATTTCCAAGGAAGAAAATGCTGTCTACTACAGTTACACATTTGCATGTAGTAGGATGTGTACTTTAGCTGTAAGTCCCACCAAGTATTACAGCCATTCAGAGAGTCAAGTCTTGACTTGGGAAACTTCCCCCAAAAGAAGTATGCATGGTTTGTGATCGTTTTTAAACATACCTTGAAATCTTTTATGATTTTCTGCCTCTGTTTTATTGGGGTATTATCTGCTGGGTTTTAGATTGCTGCTGTTACATTTGGATTGTGTTTGTGTATTTTATAGTTTTAAGATGGTTTAAATAAGTTTTTCTAAGTTGCCTTAGAAGGACTGCCTCCCTCAAAAGGTGGCATAAAATTTTCATAAATAAATAAAACCACCAGCGTTGGAATCTATATTTGATGCAGAGGCAGTGTGGTGTAGTGGTTAGTGCCTGGGCCAGGGGTCAAATCCCCACTGAGACATGAAGCTCATTGGATGATATTGGGCTGGTCCCCATCTCTCAGCATAACCTACCTCTCAGGACTCTGATGAGGATAAAATGTGGGGGCAGGGGAACTAGCATGAATGCCACCTTGGGCACCTTGGATGAAAGGCAAAATATAAATGTGATAAAGAAAGATTAAGAAACTATGTATTCATGTCTGGAGTGTTTCTGCTTCTGAGGTTTGTAGCCCTCATGTTTCCAGACAAACACCCAAACAGGGCTTCAGATTTCCCTTGGCCAGCCATCCCCATTCCCTTCTGTATTCTCATTGATTACAACTGGTGTATTGGGGTGAAGCTTAGACAAGTTATGAGTTATGTGGAAGAACTCAAAAGTTTAAAGAAGTGCACCTGGCTTGCAAGGCTAAAAGTGGGAAAGAAATAAAGCGGAATGTATTTAATGTTTAATATTTTTATGTAACTAGAAGCACAAGGCAGCTGCTTTCTTAATAAATGTTGCAGAAACCTGCCTTATCAATTCATTTTTGACAGACAACAGAATTTGAATGTCATGTTTAAGTAATAGCTGTAATGGGTTCCGTCAGTTTTTATGTGCCTAATGTAGCCAGGGAACTCTACAGAAATCTTAAATAATTAGCAGTCATTTTTCATTAGAATTAAGTGCAGGTTTTTGTAATTGTTCCACTTCTACTGTGACAGAATTGTGAGGATAAGCTAAAGGATTCCTCTGGTAAACATAACAAGGGTGTGTGGGTGTGTATAGAAAGCAACAATAAATCATGTGGAACTACTTACTGGACAGTTTTTATGGTGTATAATAAAAAGCTTGTTTGATATTTGAAAGTGATAGAGGATTTTTGAAATGGGAATTAGTTGTGGCAATGGAGCAAGGGATAGTTTCGGTTATTTTTCTTAAAAAAGAGGATTTTCTATTTCCTGCTCAGATTTAACAAGCAAGGACAGGCATCTTCTCATTGCTGTGTGATTTCTGAAGGGCCCTTGAAATAAGCTGTAGTTAATCAGCCTTATTTATCACATTTTATTAGTTCACAGTCTATTAGAGCAATGATGGAAATTTCTTATTATTTTCATTTCTGAACACTTTATTTTCTAGGCTTTTGACACAGTATTTTGTGTACCCTACCTAAAAACAACATAAACTGCCTATGATGACATTCCAAGTCACTAATCTCACATTAAGTCATTGTTCTCAGCCAAAGTACCCAACTGAGGGCATAGATAATGTGAAGACATCAGATTTATTCTCATTGTACTATATTTGGGTCTAGTGCAATAACTCCAATTTACTGCCTCCTTCTTTAAAAGTATTCATCCTACTTCTTCAGACAAGACCACATTGGTGACCAGGCTGTTTCTCTTTATGGGAGGAGGTCCAGCATTTATGTAGGTGTCAGCCCTGATGACAGTGACTGTAAAAAGTCTTCTGATCTTCTTAGAAAGCAACCATGGTCCTTGGGCCTTTCCTTATTTTGCTGCTCTGATGCTATTTTCTTCATGCAGTTGCCTACCTCTTTAAGAGCTTGAAGTGAGTCTCTGTTGTACACTCTTCTTTATAGCTACAGCAGTTTCTTTTCGTCTGGTCTATAGGATTTGCTGACTGATACAGTCATTGTCAACACTGTCAATACTTCCATATCAAGTGAGGTCATTGTTTGCACTCCCGCTGAACCCCATGAGGCTATGCCCTCTGACTTTCAACTTCCAGAGTCCCTCAGACACTACTGGTTTGAAGAGATAGCAGCTTTATCGTTTGCAGCTATGAATAAGCTATTCAAAATGAACCCTTCATCAACAAGGGCTTAGAAACTGAAATGTACACACTAAAGCATTAAAAGTTTGATAATTTGCCCTCTATGCTTGACCCATAAAACTATGGTTGCTTCTCAGCCATATGACATTTGAAGAGAACCTGTTTTACATATTATGAAATCATTGCACCGCAAGCAGATGATGTTCTTTGCATCACTGGCTGGGTAAAACTTAGTAAAGCCTGTGTTGGGCAGACTCATATGAGTTGTCTTCTTCTGTAGCAGATACTTGTCTTCTTTCTATGTACAGTCTGATGATGCCTGGGTGAAATTTCATAAGGTTATTTCTAGCTGCTTGTCATTTCCCTTCTATCCTGCATATGAAATTAAAGGTACAGTGGTACCTCGGGTTAAGTACTTAATTCGTTCCGGATTAACCTGAAACTGTTCTTAACCTGAAGCACCACTTTAGCTAATGGGGCCTCCTGCTGCTGCCGCACCGCCGGAGCACGATTTATGTTCTCATCCTGAAGCAAAGTTCTTAACCTGAAGCACTATTTCTGGGTTAGCGGAGACTGTAACCTGAAGCGTATGTAACCCGAGGTACCACTGTATATAGTTTTACTATGCACATTTCTTTGTTCATAGCACATTTCTTACTTCACTTCTGATTTTGACTCTGGAAATAATAAAAACATTTGATGTTCTTTGTGATGCAGCAAACCTCACAAGGGAGGAAGATTCCTAATGTGAAATCAATAATGCAGTGTTGCATTATTAACTTTGGAGTTAGAATTATGGAATCATAGAACTGTAGAGTTGAAAGGGACCCTGAGGGTCATCAAGTCCAACCTCTTGCAATGCAGGAATCTCAACTAAAGCATACATGGCAGATGGTCATTCAACCTGTGCTTAAAAACCTCCAAAGGAGTTGATTTTTACCTTCATTCAGCAGTGGGACAGTTAAAACTATGTAACGGTTTTGAAGTGCATTACTGTTTTAAGACACATAGGTTTCAAATAGGGCTGCCATATGTCTGGAATTTCCCAGACATAGCTGGTATTAGGCCCTTCTTAGAGCGCCCGGGCAGAAATTGCTGAAATGTCCAGGAAAAACTCATCAACTTTGGCAAAACAAATTATAACATTATCCGATGTCTTGGTCTGATGTGGCCCCCCAGCAACGTGTCCTTTCGTAAAGTTTTTATTTTTATTATTTCATTTTATAATGTATATAAAACAGAGAGATCAATTATAACAAACAGAAATTTAAAGATGAAAAACAAAACTATAAAATAGGCACAGTCCAAGTAAAGACTATCAACTTTTTCAGATCATCAAGTATGGTGCCAGATTAGGGTTGTATTGAGAATTATGGTTCCACAATACAGTATATGTCATAAAGGAACATCAAATCATGCAAAAAGTGTCTGGAGATCCTAGTCTTTATCAAAATCTCAAATTATGCATGATTTTTCTCCATTTTAGCTATATTCCAGAGTGAGCGTAACAATGGATTTACATTGGTGTCACCAAAAACATTCAGAAACATTGATCTTTGGCAAAAAAACCAATAGTTTCTTTAGTAATATTTATAATTTCTATCAAAATTAAATTCTCAAAACCTTGCACCAACTGTCATTCCCACCATAAATGATAATATGTACCAAGTTCATTGCAACCCCTCCAACAATTAGGTGATATAGAAGAAAACATTTTTGACATTGGCAAACAAGTGTGATACTACCTGTGTAATAATTTTCAGGAGTTTTCCCTAAGAAAACTGGAAACCTCAGGCAATGTATTAATTGTTCCTATCCCTGGGTGCTGCAGCCAAGATCCCTCTGCCTTAGGCAAACTGCAGGTGTTTCTCTCCTCCGATATCTTTCTATCTACTTCTGCCTGCAAAGATGGCCAGAACTGCTGCACTAAGGATCTCAGTAATGATGTTTGCACACTGCATTCAGGTGAAGGAGGGACAGCTTTAAGTTTGGGGTGTTGTAATTTTGGTCTGGGATGTAATTTCCTTTGTAGTTTCAACTGGGAATGAGAGCTGGCATGGAGTAAAAGGAAAGTTATTTCATCTCTTCTTCACTCAACCTCATTGCATATTGAATTGCATATAAGGTACTATTTCTACCACATCTCTTTTCTTCTTCTTTTGACAGAATGTGTATGGGGGGGGAGCCTTAAGTCACAGAGACCTATATAATTGGCAAGCATTTTGGAAATATATCTCTTTATTCTGAGGGTGTGCACTTTATGCCAGGGCTTCGAACAGCTCTCTCCATGATATTAATTAGTCACCAGTTCCAGACGTGCTTTGTTCTCCTGTTATTTTCAAAATTCACTTCTCGTTCCCAGTGTAGGAGTAAAGCTGTGCATATTGGAAACTGAAGTACATTATTAAACTTCTACATCACTTCTTCCCTACGTGTGCTGAGAGGGCAAAAAGTTGGCTTCCCTAGGGTTTTCTGCTTAGCATACTAAACCGACGTCTCTAGTGAGACATGGGGAAGTTATGTACCAATTAATACACGGCTGTTACAGTCTTCATTAATTGCTGGACTTTGAGTTGTGGGTCATATCTTTTTTTTATAATTGTCCTACATTCAGCAATTAGAGTTTTGTGTGATTATGGCTAAACTCCTTTGCACACCTATTTGGGCATAAGCTCCACTGAACATAGCAGGATTAGGCCCCACCTACACAATACATTTATACCAGAATCATGCCACTTTAAACAGTCAAGTCCCCCCAAGAAACCTGAAAACTGTAGTTTGTTAAGGTTTTTGAGAGTTCTTAGGTGATCCCTATTCCCCTCAGTGCGTTAAAATTCCCAGAGTGGTTTAACAGTCAATACCTTTTCCCAAGTAATTCTAGCAATTGTTGCTGGCACTGAGGTCTAAACCACTAAGCCTCTTGGGCTTGCCGATCAGAAGTAATTCTGCCGATCAGAAGTAATTCTGGCAATTGTCGCTGGCACTGAGGTCTAAACCACTGAGCCTCTTGGGCTTGCTGATCAGAAGGTCCGTGGTTCGAATCCCCGCGACGGGGTGAGCTCCCGTTGCTCGGTCCCTGCTCCTGCCAACTTAGCAGTTCCAAAGCACGTCAAAGTGCAAGTAGAGAAATAGGTACTGCTCCTGCGGGAAGGTAAACGGTGTTTCTGTGCGCTGCTCTGGTTCCCCAGAAGCGGCTTAGTCATCCTGGCCACATGACCCGGTGTGATGGCCTGGGATTCCGATTCGGAGGATGAAACAGAGGAATCCCAGCCTGCACAGGAGTCCCCGCCTCCAGGGCCGGCTGAACTGGGGCAAGGCCTAGATGCTGAAGAGCCTGCACCTGTGGCAGTGCATCAGGAGCTGGCCCCAGGTGAAGCCCTTCTGGCCCCAGAGGGGCTTGATGACTCAGTGGCCACAGGTGAGCCTCCTCCAGGGCCCAGTAACCCTTCGGCCTCTCCTGATCTGCAGAGGCTTAGGGCAGAGAGGCGAAGGGAACTGGTTGCCCCCAGGAGGAGTGCTCGCCTTAAGGCCAGAGGAGGCGGGGCTCCTGGGGACCGGGACCGCCCCTGGCCTTAGAAGAGGATAAAAGCCCAGTCAGCCCGGCCCCAGGTTGCGGGAGCAACGTCGTTGTTGGCTTCGGACCTTCCTGTGCTCCTGTTCCCTGCTCGGCTTCCTGTTCCTGACTATCCGGTACTCCTGTTCCCTGCTCGGCCTCCTGTTCCTGACTATCCGGTACTCCTGTTCCCTGCTCGGCCTCCTGTTCCCGACCATCCGGTGTTCCTGTTCCCTGCACAGCCTCCTGTTCCAGCTTTCCTGTTCCCCGCCCGGCTCTCTGCCTCGGACCTTGCCCCTCTTCGTGTGGACTCTGCTACACCCAAGGTACCTTACCCCCGGGACCAGCACAGTTTGCTCCCGCCCAACCCGCACTCCCCCTTCGTAGGGGTGCGTTCGGGAAGAGCCAGAGGCCATGGCTGACCAGGCGGCTGCACTGGTGGCTTTGGCCCAGAAGAACCAGGCCTTGACTCACACCGTGCAGCAGCTCAGTGACGCGGTTGTGGCACTTCAGCAACGCTTGGAAGCCCTACCGGCTCCTGGGGCCGACGCCCCGGCTCCGGGCAAGTACCCAGTGGCTTTGCCTGAGAAATTTGATGGAGCCCCGGCCAGCTTTCCCATGTTCCTGGCCCAGGCCAAGCTGTATATTCAGGGGCGAGCCCGGAACTTTCCTGACGACCGCACCAAGGTGCACTTTTTGATTAGTTTGTTAAAGGACCAGGCGGCCAAGTGGGCGTTGCCGCTACTCAGGCAAGACTCCCCTTGCTGGCAGACTATACGGGGTTTTGCAATCGTTTGGAGGCCGCGTTCGGCAACCCCCAGAAAGAGAGTCAAGCCAACCGGGCGATTCGGCGTTTGAAACAGGGCAAGTCCACGGTGGCCACATATACCACGGAGTTTCGGCTGTTGGCACAGGACTTGACCTGGAATGACTCGGCACTGCGGGACCAGTATCTCGAAGGGCTTTCGGACGAGGTACTGGACCAGTTGGCCACAATGGAACGCCCCACCACGCTGGACACTCTCATTCAACGGAGTCTACAAATAGACGACCGGTTGGAGGATCGTCGTCAGGCCCGGGTCGCCGACACTTCCAGTTCACGGCACCAGCTTTTTCCGGCAGCCCCACGGTCACAACTGATTTAACGGAGGAGCCTATGCAGCTCGGGGCAGTGCGGCCACGCCTTTCCCCGCAGAGAAGGCGCGGCGTCGGGAGGGAAATCTCTGTCTTTACTGTGGCGGAAGTGGACACTTCGCTCGGTCCTGCCCTGAGAAACGCCAGCCGCAGGGAAACCGCCAACCCCAGTAGCTGATGGCCCTAGCTACCGGGGGTCCCAAACCGTACAGAATGGGCCCGCACCAATGGACTTGCAACATCTTATGGTTTCAGTACGTTTATACCCTCCAGGTGGGCCCTGGATCCTCACCCATGCTTTGGTAGATTCAGGGGCAACCCGCTCCTATATGGACGCTGCTTTTGCCGCCCATCATCAGGTGCCACTCGGAACAAGCCAGTACCGGTCCAGGTGGAAGCGATTGACGGACGACTTCTGCGTTCAGGTGCCGTTACTCAGGAGACCCAGCCCCTGGTCCTGTGTCTCCAGCAGCACCGGGAGTTGCGGACTTTGGACATTGCCTCTATGCCCCGCTCCCCCTGGTGCTCGGGATGGACTGGCTGGAAGCCCACAGCGTTCAGATTGACTGGGTCAAACGGACCGTGCACTTCCCAGACCCATGTTCCCATGCTCAATCCGGAACGCTGGCGGCCGCGCCCTCAGAGGAGGCAGCACCCACGCTCCCAGCCGTGTACCAGGACTACCAGGACGTGTTCGAGGAACGGGGGGCAGACCAGCTGCCGCCACATCGGCCTTTGACTGCGGCATAGACCTCCAACCCGGAGCGCCTTTACCAGTGAGTCGCTTATATTCCCTAACAGAGCCAGAGCGCGAGGCTTTGCAGGACTTCTTGCGCAAGAACCTGGAGCGTGGGTTCATTAGGCCTTCCACCTCGCCTACCGCGGCACCAGTGCTTTTCGTTAAGAAGAAATGTGGGGAACTCCGCCCTTGCCATGATTACCGAGCCCTGAACAAAATTACCGTCCCAGACCGGCACCCGAGCCCCTTATCTCGTAGCTGCTGGAGCGGGTGCAAGGGGCACAGGTGTTCACCAAGCTGGACCTCCGGGGCCTACAACTTGATTCGGATCCGAGCCGGGGATGAGTGGAAGACAGCGTTTGGGACCCGGTACGGGCAGTTCGAATATTTGGTTATGCCTTTCGGTTTGTGCAACGCGCCTGCTGTGTTTCAACGCTACATCAACCACGTGTTTCAGGACTTGTTAGACAAGTACGTGGTGGTGTATTTGGATGACATACTGATTTACTCCCGTGACCCGGCTTGCCATGAGGGACATGTCCGGACCGTGCTGCAGCGCTTGCGTGAGCACCGTTTGTACGCAAAGCTCAGCAAGTGCGAGTTCCATCAGCGGACTGTGGACTTCCTTGGTCACCGGCTCTCTCCAGATGGGGTGCAAATGGACCCGGGGAAGGTGACAGCGGTTCAAGAATGGGCGGCACCCCGGAACCGCAAGGACCTGCAGCGTTTCCTGGGGTTCGCCAATTACTACCGGACCTTCATCGCTGATTATGCTCATCGCACCACCCCGTTGACCCGGCTACTGCGCCCAAAGACGCCGTTTTCCTGGGACAAGGAGGCAGAGGAGGCGTTTCAGGGGTTGAAGGCCTGTTTCCAGAGGGCACCAATCTTACAACATCCTGACCCCTCTCGACCCTTTGTGGTGGAGACCGACGCTTCCAGTACGGCTCTCGGTGCCGTCTTGTCTCAACAGATTGGTCCTGAAGCGCCACTCTTACCCTGTGCCTTCTATTCTCGCCAGCTCCTACCAGCGGAGCGTAACTATACTGTGTGGGAGCGGGAACTACTGGCCATCAAGGTAGCCTTTGAGGTCTGGCGCCACCATCTTGAGGGGCACGACATCCGGTGGAGGTGAGAACCGACCACCGGAACCTGGAGTACCTCCAGACCACCCGCAAGCTGAACCAAAGACAGATCCGGTGGGCGTTGTTCTTTTCCCGGTTCCAGTTCCGGATCCGCTACATCCCTAGCTCTCAGAATCAGAAGGCGGATGCCCTGTCCCGGAAACCCGAAGACAACGCAGACACGGTACAGCAAGCAGAACCCACCACGATCCTACCTCCGGCTGCATTCCTGGCCACCCAGGAGGCGCAGCCACTGCAGGTTCGGGTGCGGGAACAGCAGCGGGTCGACGCTTGGGCCCAGGAACGACTCCGGGAGCTGGCTGAAGGGTCCAGCCCACAGTATCCGGGGCTGGTCCTGCATCAGGGCCTTCTGCTGCACCACGGTCGTCTGTCACATCCCGCCAGGGCCACTACGGCTGGAGGTTCTCCGGATGGCCCATGATGCCCCAGCAGCGGGGCACTTTGGACGGTATCGGACCACCCATCTGGTCAGTCGAGAGTTTTGGTGGCCCCGCCTGAAGGCTGACGTGGCTCGCTACGTTGCTGGTTGTGATGTCTGCCGGCGCGCCAAGGGACCTACCGGGCGACCCCCCGGCCTACTTCAGCCATTGCCAGTTCCACCGCGCCCCTGGCACACGGTTTCGTTGGACTTTGTAGTGGACTTACCCTCGTCTCGTGGCTGTACCTGCCTTCTGGTTTTCTCCGACCATTTCACCAAGATGGTGCACTGCGCTCCCTGTCCATCTGTACCCACAGCCAAGGAAACTGCTCAGCTGTACCTTCAGCATGTCTTCCGCCTGCATGGACTACCTGAGCGCGTGGTGTCCGACCGGGGCGTTCAGTTCACATCCCGGTTCTGGCGAGCATTACACCAGACCCTCGGGACAGAGGTCTGCCTCTCGTCAGCCTACCACCCACAGACCGATGGCCAGACGGAACGGGCGAACGCGGTGCTGGAGCAGTACCTCCGGTGTTACTGCAGCTACCAGCAGGATGACTGGGTCGACCACCTGGCATTGGCGGAGTTCGCCTATAACAACGCGGTGAATGCGTCCACCCAGCAGACCCCGTTCCAGGCCAGTTATGGTTATCATCCACGGCTGTTTCCAGAGGTGCTGCCGGCATCCGCGGTCCCGGCGGTGACGGAGTGGCTTCAAGAGCTCCAGTCCCAGCAACAGCTTTTGGTGGAGCAACTGCACCAGGCCAAAGAAGCGTACAAAGCCCAGGCCGACCGCCACCGCCAGGTGGGGCCGGAACTTCGCGTCGGTGACCTGGTTTGGCTCTCCACTCGCCACCTCCACCCCTCTCGACCTTCGCGGAAGTTGGACGCCCGCTTCACCGGCCCGTTCCCTATCGTAGACCAGATCTCTCCTGTGGCATTCCGTCTCCGGTTACCCGCAACCCTGAAGGTTCACCCGGTCTTCCACAGGTCCCTTTTGAGTCCGGTGGCCCCACCCGACGAGTTCCACCCGGACCGTCCCCGACCGCAGCCAGTGTTGGTTCGGGAGAGCCTGAGTACGAGGTGGAACGCATCCTGGACTCCCGATACCGCAGGGGAAAGCTGCAGTATCTCATTGACTGGAAGGGGTACGGACCGGAGGACCGTTCCTGGGAACCAGCGGCCAATGTCCACGCACCTGCCTGCCTCCGAGAGTTCCATGCGACGTACCCCGGCAAGCCGGGTCCGGACCCTCGGTTGAGGGGGGGGCCTGGGAGGGGGGATGGTGTGATGGCCTGGGATTCCGATTCGGAGGATGAAACAGAGGAATCCCAGCCTGCACAGGAGTCCCCGCCTCCAGGGCCGGCTGAACTGGGGCAAGGCCTAGATGCTGAAGAGCCTGCACCTGTGGCAGTGCATCAGGAGCTGGCCCCAGGTGAAGCTCCTTCTGGCCCCAGAGGGGCTTGATGACTCAGTGGCCACAGGTGAGCCTCCTCCAGGGCCCAGTAACCCTTCGGCCTCTCCTGATCTGCAGAGGCTTAGGGCAGAGAGGCGAAGGGAACTGGTTGCCCCCAGGAGGAGTGCTCGCCTTAAGGCCAGAGGAGGCGGGGCTCCTGGGGACCGGGACCGCCCCTGGCCTTAGAAGAGGATAAAAGCCCAGTCAGCCCGGCCCCAGGTTGCGGGAGCAACGTCGTTGTTGGCTTCGGACCTTCCTGTGCTCCTGTTCCCTGCTCGGCTTCCTGTTCCTGACTATCCGGTACTCCTGTTCCCTGCTCGGCCTCCTGTTCCTGACTATCCGGTACTCCTGTTCCCTGCTCGGCCTCCTGTTCCCGACCATCCGGTGTTCCTGTTCCCTGCACAGCCTCCTGTTCCAGCTTTCCTGTTCCCCGCCCGGCTCTCTGCCTCGGACCTTGCCCCTCTTCGTGTGGACTCTGCTACACCCAAGGTACCTTACCCCGGGACCAG